TCATCGAGCACTTTTCATTACGATAGACATATCGATATCTAGATACTTTGTAGATATGAATAAAGTGCGTAAGTTGTGCACACACGTGTGTACGTTGTGTAAGATGTGTAATATGCACGAAATTTCATGAGTATTATAACAGCCACACTCGTTTTAACGATATTATTACATGTGCCTACTGCCTACTTAGATAATAGCATTGAGACATCGAGATAATATTATATTAATATATCTTTATTTTGTACACGGATATAGGATTTCAAAATATGTGATGCACAGAAGAATATATTATAATATTATGTACATATTATACAACTAAACGTTAAATCGTAAAGGCAGCTGACGCAATGGTTTTCGAAAATTTGTAATCGTTTTACCAATAGGTAGCAAGAACAACGTCTTCGGAATGATTAGTTTGTACCCAGCTTTATGCTATACGCATAATAAAAACAAAATATTATGTTCTATTTATTCGTATATAATACAAATGTGATGGTGTACAAGACAATCAATTTGGGTCGATGTACCACACACAATAATTATTCCATGGTCCATTGTAAATGTTTAATATCATTTCAATAATTTAATTCTCTAGGTTAGAAATTTTAAAAAGTTCAGATTAATAGTTTAAATGCATTTTTAATTAATTAATTAAATACTGTATTTTCTATGTTCCAATTTATTTTAAAACCAAAAGTAATAGATTTTAATTAATAGCATTTCTAATAGACTAGAGCAATTTAAAATTTTTCGTATATTTCTATAACCTCGATTTAAAAAAAAACAAAAGTAACTAGTAAGTACCTAATATCAGTCATAAAATAATAAATTGTTTGATATTTGTTATTATTATAATGTCACCTATTTATGATGTAATCTAGTAAAGTAGTGGATTAAGTAATAAATAAGCATCATTTAGCACAAAATCGAACAAAATATGTGAACAAATTTAGTATAAGGAATATTAATATTATTATTCAATCTACTATGGGTATATTTTTATTTAGTTTCATAGTTTGTACCTATACGATTTACTTTTAATAACAATTAATACGTAATAGTATAGTATACAATATAATCTTCACACGTTTTGGTTTAACCAAATAGGCCATTGGAAAAATACTATTATAAGTATACCTATACCAAAAGTTAAGAGTATTAAAAATTATATTCTATAAAGATATTAATTGTCATATCTTAACATTTTTCTGACCATTGCCGTTTTTAATCTTTTTGTTGTTAAAATTATTTTTTCAATTGTATCAATTATTTGTAGATCCTTTTATTTATATGTATTAATAATATGTAATTAGAACGATATGAAAGTTTTTGTGGTAAACTATTTGAATTAACTCTTACTTTAGTAAGCACCTTAAAAATATGACTTTGGATTATTGAAATATTAGATATACAAAATGATGTTACAAATAAAATATAAATACTCATAGTACCTTGCCTGCAGTGGATATTACGCAAGGAAACGTATAGATTGTAGACTTATAAGAGGTTAGACTGTTTAGATGACCGAAAATAAATACTAATCAAATAAAGAAGTACTTATAGAGACGGAGAAAAATATGTCATCTAATTCGAGTACTGATTTAAATTTATTGTTTTTAATAAACGAAATAACTTGATTTTTCGTTGCAACATAGCTATAGAAACAATGTTTATAATAATATATAGACGTCTTCTTAAACTATACGTATATTATATATATATTTGTCTATTGTTCTTGAATTGTTTGTCAAAATGTATGCTATAATAATATATATATTAGGTACATTAGGTATAGTTATAGTTTTGACATTAAATTATTTAAAAAAAATATTTATTATTGTTATAATACATAAACAAAATTGAGAATGCTTATACAGTAGAGATATAGAAGAGTGGGTCTAAAAATATAAAATGGGGAGGGTTACATTTTTTTTCAGAAAACTTACTAAGATAATTATAACACCTATAGTTAGGTATACCTAGGCTACATAATTGAATTAATATAATAAGTCATATTTGTATTATATAAATAAATTCATAGTATGTAACACATCCAAAGGGAGGCTAAAGTTCCACATATTATAGAACTCTAAGAAAAAAAATAATATTTTATTTAAAATAATTTACAGTTTTGATCAATCTATTTTGACTCTTTATTAGTGTAGCAGTATTATGGGCAGGCGATGGCAGCTGTATACCATATAAATATAGATGGTTGCATTTTGACTTTTTGCTGCATTTGTGTGTTGGGTGTATTTTCTTAAGTATAAGGTACATATTTTATTTCTAGGTTATAATATAATATAATATAAATATATATACAATAATTTTCAAATCTTACAGTTGTTCAGTAAAATAATATTTATTGATGGATACGATTATATAATAGCAATTCACGGAATTCTCATTCAAAAATCCGAAAAAGGCGGTATTTTGCATAGTAGGATTTGAGTGTATAGGTCTAGACACTAGTCATTGAGTCACCTAACCTTACAGTATTATAATACAGATGTAGTAGATACTTTTTATTAATTCAATATTAAACAAATTTAAGATTATTATTTCGACCAAAACGACAGTTGTCTATTTATATACATGGGAAAATTGTGCAACTACTGTAACAGCACAGATTTTTCAGGTATCACCTGAACTCGCTTAGTCCAAATTTTTGAACTGTGCAGACGTGCAGTTATACAATTTTCATTTATACATACAGTTAGTTTGCTCAAACTTGAATTCATACAATCCGTTTTCGCAGTTTTAGTGAACCTTAGAATTAATATAAATATTTTAAAAATTAATCTTGTATAGCAAAAAAATTATATACAAATGTAATGGTGAGAATTCCAAAGTTATATATTTAATGTTTTTTACATTTTGACAAAATAGAAAGAATCGATAGGGAAAACAGTGTGCCTATGTAAATTCTACATTATTTTTAAACCTGCACTATAAGAAAAATAAACGAATAATATTGTATTATATTTTCAAGTTAAAGATATTAAAATTAAAAAATTTAAGCTTTTAAATTACATAAAATTACCAAATACTGCAAGTTTCATGATTTTGACGAATTTGTCAACATTTGAAAGTTAAAAAATATATATAAAAAAAAATAGGACCATGTATTTTAAGAATGTTTTAATTTCTGTAAGAACAACTCATTAGGACTGTTGTATTAAAAATTTAAATTTCTAGCTTTTTGCTTAAATCAAAAAAAAATTTCAAATATTTATAAATAGCCCGAAAAGCGCCAAAATATGTTCAAAATTATAACTTGTCTACCAAAAAATCTTAACATAATTATTTTAGTGAACATTTCAAGAATCTACGATTGTTGATTTTTTAATAACGACATGAAGAAGAAATTGACTATGAAGAGAATTGGTGTTTCGTAAATATTTCCATTTTGCCATGAGGTATTCATTTTTTATTTTTATTTTTTGTCATTTAGTGTCAAGAAATTACTTTGAACTAGACAAAATTTTCTGCCAGAAACCACCCTCAATAATATTTGAGACAGGAGAATTTATTCTGATATTCTTCAGAGTTCAGACACGCTCAAAAAAATGTTTTAAAAACATACATTGCCCTTCTCAGAATACAGAATTCATAAATTAAAAATAAAGACATTGATTTGAGTTTTTAATTTTGTGGCTGTTTCATGAATTATTCGGGGTCAACAAATATTAGGAATTTGGATGATATCATGGTGACATTGATAAAGGGGAATAGTTTAAGACGAGAAAAAATACATATTATTACATATTATATTACATTTTTATGCATTCCTACCAGATGACTTATTTAAAACAAAGGTTATAGGTATGTGATCAGAAATTGCCTAACTAGTAACTACTATAACTAATGACATTATAAAACTTTTTCAAGTAACTCCATTCGACAGTTGATATTATATATTATAGAATATTACAACCATATGTGTCCATGTAGGTCTAAAAATATAAGTGTTATACACACTAAGGAGTTCCGATTCCGACCGTTTTTAAGGAGTTCTGTATAGGTAATATCCTATAGGTTAAGGCAGGGATTCCCAACCGCCGTGCTGCGGCGCATAAGTGTGCCGCGAAATTATTTGAGTGTGCCGTGTAATTTGTGTCTTACATTGTAATTGTGTAATAGAAATCTCCTAAAAATAAAAATTGATAAAATGTCCACATGGAAAGACATAGGTATTACTATACATTAGAATATTAGATAATACCCGATACGCCCGATACGGGTATTATAACTTATTAGCAGTCATTTAGCAGTTCAGTTATTAATTATTTATTTGTGTGCCGTGAAATTTTTTTAAATGATCAAGTGCGCCGTTAGGTAAAATAGGAAGGGAATCCCTGGGTTAAGGTACGACTACACGTAAGGTACTGTCGAGTACGCACGTACTGCGTTGTAAGTGATCATTATTATTTGTGTGTGTGAAAAAATTGTCAAGAGTTCTCACACGTACACACATGTAAAAAAATTTAGTGTACCTACATGAATTTTTTTTTTATTTTTATTTTTTGTGTTTAAATTTCAACCTTTTATCAATATTGTAACCTGCTTAATGTGTTTATCTGGTACAGTTTTTGAAGATATGTTTAAATTCTTTGTCAAGTAATTGACTTGAAAACGACTTCCTTACACGTTTTAATTCAAGCACCAACTTAAATATTATTAACATTTTAAAATCCATATAAATCTAATTTGAACGGTTTTCTTGTTTACCTTAAAAAAGTAAAAATTAATTCTCGAATAAACTTTTAGACGAATCGACGAATTATTATGCCTACACTATTTCAGAAGTTTCGTCCGATCTCTAGTATAGCCGGTATAATTATCACGGAGTGTCTATTTTGGTGAAAAACACGGTTCGGATTGAATGTCCAGACTTGGTTATAATAGTATTACAAAGAATAGCTCAAGTCTTATAATACATTCCAAGTAGATTAATATTGTACCCGCCATCAAAAAAGTCGTATGTCTCGTTTACTTACCGTGCGGATCTAGGCAACAACAAGCGTCGTGCAATAATTTGTCGGAGCAGTAACTATACACACTAGAATCGCAAAATGGGCAGCCGTTGGGTCTTCGTTTCATGTTTAATCTACCGTTTTCTGGCGGAACGTCGTTCGGTTCTTCGTTATTCTCTCCTGCTTCAGATACTTCAGGAGCTTCGGCTTCAACCGATTGGACTTCCTCTGCTTTGTTCGCCAATTTTTTATCTAAAGAAAATTAAACATTTTTGAAATAAACTAACTATAATAATACTAATAAAAGTAATAGTTATTGTTATTTGATATTAAAAGACTTAATTGTTATGTTCAAGCTATTTTGAAATCACATTAATAGATCAAAATCAATTCCCAAATATTACGAACCTCAACACATTTGTGTTAAGCTTGTTATCATTGTCATTATTTACTCAATTAGAATATTTGAATTTTTCATTTATAATATTATAATAGTATAAAATTACCTAGCCAGTGGCATATTATAAACAATCAAAATGATTTACCCGTATAATATAGTATATCTATTTATTTATTTATATTGTCTCATGACTCACACTGAAGATGTATAAGTATAATATTATAATGAAAGTACTATGTAATTAAAATAATCTTATCACACACAATTATTGAGATCATATTTAAAAAATGATGTGAATTTAACCACTATTCAATTACGAATAGCTTAATAATTAGAATAAAGATTTCAATGATCAAACAAATTTGATAACTATTCACATACAAAATATAACTGATATATGAAAAGTAGATACAGTTTATAATTCAATAGATTTTATACTGAACCTTTTTATATTTTATGAAAATAAAAACGTGTTATTTTTTATGTATATTATATTGTTTTTATAGTATTTTATCGTTATTTCATACTCTAAATGTTATATGTATTTATACATTCAAAATTATTTCGGTATTCAATATTAACTATACATACCACAAGGATTTTTTGAAACTTAATTGTTCATACTTTATATTATAATTTAATAATTATTTTATAATTACAGTTAATTATATAGGAAATCAGGTAGTTTTTAGTATCTGATGGTTTTTGACATTGGCTTTAATAAAATATGTAAGTACCAATTCAATATATTTTACAAACTACCTATGTATTGTCTATAACATATAAATTTAAACATTTAAAAATAATAAATACACAGTGAAATTTTGTATTGCAGTGGCTATTTAGCTTGAATTTATTCAAATTATAAGCAAATAGATAATTGCATTGATGAAATTAACTTTAAATTTGATTTTGAATTCACCGTTTGCCTGAAATACAATTATTTGGTTTTAATACTCACGTATATGTAAGTCAAGTTGCATATGTAACTCCTCGTAATATTTTATAATTTATTCATTTTTATATTATTATAATTTATTTATTATTTATTTGTTGCTGTCAACCACTTTAACATAAAGATACATAGAAGATGACAATAAAGTTAGATACGCACAGCTCCCCTTTCAAAGGTATAATTATTGTGGGGAAGGAGAGAATATTATTGCATAATATTATAAATTGATTAATGGATGATCAGGTTTATCAATCTATATCAAATAATTATCCAACCGTTTTAAGTCTTTATAATTTGAATATAGAGTCATAATTATTATATCATATTTTTTTGTATCTTATTTATTATTTAGGTAACTATTATTGAGCAATACTATTGATATTACTCGACATCTTAGTTCAGAAATACATACCAGTATAAAAATATATATTGTTTCATGGTACATTTAACAAAGATCGATTTTATGTAATTATTCAATGATTTATTTATTCAGCGTCATGACCTGATTAAGTATATTAAAAAACTGACACAATGAGCTCATAGTTGACTAGTTACAGCTTTCTTTTTATAAAACGTTTATTAAATATAAACATTTTTAAAGATGATCATATTTACTTAAATGCGTGTTTATTGTTTTATTACATGCCTCATCATGTTATTATTTTATATTTTGTACGTTCTGCAACATTGTATTTGTATCATATCTAATATTATTTTATCTTTTGAATGATTATTTCAGATAAGTAAATTAAGACACAGACACATCACTGAAAAGGTCAATAAATATTGTATTATGTAGGTACCCCCTAATGTCGCAAATATCATTATTTAAGGCATACCTAATATCTAAGTACTCTACCAAAAATGTAAATATAGGTAAAATATTAAAATATATATCTACCTAATGTATATATTTTCGAAATTATAATATTAATATATTATAAAAATCGAATTAAATTTAAAACTTAAACGCTTCTTTTTTTTCTAGGCTTGATACACAAATTTGATTTGTATCTATTACCTTTTTTAAATACCTAACTTAAAATAACCAAAGATTTAGACTTAGTTCTACAATTTATAAGAAATGTAGCAAAATTCCTACACTCTATGAATTATATTTTTAGTTGTTGAGCAATGTTTAGTTTTTAATAGTATATTGAGGTCAAATATTTTCTTTGAATTTGGATTTTAATAACTGGTATGGATGTTTGCCAAAATGTTGATAGTATATAATTTATTCAAAACATGACCCTAAGAAGAAAATATACATTAATCAGTTCAAAAGATTGTGCATACAACTTTCACCATAGTATCAAATTATTAATAGCATCTTGTACATTTTACAGTTTTAGACATATTTATTAAATCCACCTAAATAAAAAACATTTTCAAAAAACTTTAAGGTATTAAATTTTATTCTACTATATTAATTATTAAGTAACTAATATTTCTAGGTAAATACTAGGTATATTCTTTTCTGCAAAATAATTATAATACGATTTGATAAACTATGTTAAAGACTTGATAATAGTTTAATAATTTTCTAAAACTATAGATATGTGCTGATAATTGAGTATTGGCTGCTACATTTAAAAAATAAAGTGCTACTGTGAGATTTTATTATTAGTACCGACTATTATTGTCAATTTGTAGTGTTAGCTGTTCATTTATTAAACAAAATTTATTATTATCAGATTACGACGTTTTAAATATAAATACCATTATTATCAATGATAAATCCGTCAAATCGTTAATCAATTTTTAAAATAAGATAAATTATTAGATAATATACTATTATTTATATTGAAAAAAATTCAATGTAAATAAGTTTTTGGCCGGTTAGCTACAATTTTTTCTCAAACCGAATTTCGCGATGACGATTTTTGTAACACTTTGTTTATTGATATAGAAATGCAAATCAAGTGTGGTGAATACACTTATAGCTATTATTAATTATTATAAATTGTATGGATTGTAATTTATTTGTACGTTGCACCTATTATTCTCAGACTAGGTACCTAATTTGATATAACTATAACAATTTAATTTAGTAAAAACATAATCATATGTAATATAATATGCAGCATAGGTACTGTAACACGAGATTACATGAATATAACAAATTACTTGTCCATCGATCTAATCGCATTATTTGAATCTTTATTGGATTACGAATACATAGTACATACCTATGAGTTAATGTGCCAATAATAAGGAAATATACCTACGCATGCGTAATTTTAATAATATGTATATAATTGGTATAGGATGTACATCGAGTCCTAATTTATCTATTGATGAGCTAAATACTATGTAATAAAATAATTATTTAATATTATAGATAAGTACATTGTAGATCTACTATAACTTTTTCTTACTTTGATGTAGACTCGGAGACCTCGTCGATGTAAAACCGATGCATATGTACACAATATTGACCACCAATAACACTTTTACCAATTTTCGATTGTTCGCCATTACAAGTACCTAACTTGCGGCAATAAACGAGTTCAAAAATTTAGTTTAACAACAGTAAACAGACCGACATTTGGTCGAGTACGACTCGTCTAATAACAAAAAACGTAATGAAACAAAAAATCTTCAAAAATAAAAACTATAAATTCACTGAATCAAACAGATAGTTACGTAGGTAGACGCGCTTTTTGTGTTTATTAAACGTGATAATATTGCTGTGAGTTATACCGCCTAAGTATTGTTATAAGTAATTTTTACGGTCACTTTAACTGACACTGTTAATCAACACACTGCCGCCACTGCGATAATGGAAGTCACCGGTTTTCTTTCAGAGATCCTGCTTTTTCCCACTAACATAATATTATGCGGCCGATTTAATTAAGACGAAACACTTTCATTCCGTCTATATCGGTGGCAATGTTTCCGGAACTGATAGACTAGTGGGGTTTATATAGTGTTCCGGTTCAGCTGAGTTCAGCACACCATGTAACAGGTAGAAAAAAAACTCCAGTAATATAAAATGACGGAAATTCGTTGAAAAACAAACGTAACAATACACCACCGTTATTTTTTGCTACAAACCGCATTTGTTAACCAACCAAGATTTACCAAATTACCATTATCATATTGAAATATTGTAATAAGTATATAACAACGATAGTCGTTTTTTCAACGGGTAAAAAATTGGTTTAACTCAAAAACCTATGAGAAAAAAAATGTTTGAGTACCTATATACAATATAAATAGACCTATTATACTTGAGTATTTTGAGTTCCTATAAGTAGAATTTTAATAGTATATATTAAACTATAAGTACTCGTATAATAATCGTAGGTATATAAACAATTCACTATTTTGGTTTATGAGCAGCAATTTATTTTACATGATGTGTGTGTTTTTTTCTGTCCGCAATCTCCTTTTGGATCAGTAAAACATAAAAATACTGTTTTTAAACTTTGAAGGCGGTTGTGGTAGCAAATTGAATCTAGGTGGAACTTAAGAGGGGGAAGGTCAAACCAAGAAAAACAGGAGTTCTTACTACAGGCGTGCACACCCAGGGCATATCCCCCTTTGGCTTATTTTTGTTGTATAAAGTATATGGTAAAGCAACGAATGCATATATATATATGTATATATATCTAAGAATAATCAAAAAATTCATATCCCCCCCCTTTCAAAAAAGCTGATCACACTACAATTGTATTTTATTAATGTGACTCAAAAACAAATGTTCAAAGATACTTTAACAAATGTTTATAATAGCATTTTCTTTTAGTTATAGATTTCTAAACATAATATATAGGTAAATTTAAAACACATTGTCATCTTATACCCTCATTGCATCCATCCATCCAAGTTACCAACACGGCAACCATAGACGGAAATTTGTTGAAATTACTTGGGGGAGGGGGGCTGAGCCCTGTGCATTATATTTCTCATTGCACCTACATAGGCGCTAATGTACTAGTCGCTCACAATTATTTATTTCAACAAGACAATTTACAAAGTTTGACATACCAAACAATTTAACCATAATACAGTACAAAAACAATAATGTGCCTTACTTTGAACATTTATTTCTAAACAAAAATTGTATTAAATTAATTTCATTATTAAGTTATTAAATTAATTGAATTATAGGTAACCAATTTAATATAGGATGTACCAATATTGGTGATATTGTTAGTAAAAACCTTCATAATTAGTTATGAAAAATAGTATATTATTACGTAATTTCATTGAAACCGGGACGACGCGGACGACTGCTGATAAATAACCAATTTACCAATTTATAAACCAAATTTTTCAATTATACTAATTATTGTATATTTAGTCACATTAAAATTGTGATAGCCGGGGAGGGCTAGACCTGTACTTTAAACTTCTGAGGGACTTATTCTCCTTTAGCCCCCCCCCCTCCCCCGATGTTTCCGCCTATGACGGCAACACACATAGTTACGATTTTTGGTGTTAATATGTATTTTAGTATTTCTTAATAGTAGCCGGTATTAAAAAATATCTTTATTTGAGTATTTAATATAGATTCAACTTAGTCTATAATAAAAACATAATATCGGTAAAAAAAATATAAAGGCTACCAAATTATTCTTAATTTCTATATTTTATTTATTTTTATATTAATTTATTCTTCAAGAAGATAGTATATTATCTTGGGTCCCACTATTTATGGAATTATAGTAGGTATATTGCATTATATCAATAAACGTTTAGCTTTCCCGACTTGTTTTTTCTGAAAATGTCGATAAGAAATTATTCGTACCGTCAAAAAAGCTTGAAAATTTAATTTTAGGGACCTATAAGGTTTCTCATTAGTAGTTCATACTGTAACCAAAAAATCTAAAAAAGTTGGTATACACAGATTGTTTATAGATATCTTAAGTTCAAATTTGGACGAAATTAAATATTTAATCAATGAATAACGGTTTTAATTATTTTTTGTAATTTAAAAATATTATTAGCTGGTGCTTGAAACTCTTAACATACTATTTTATTATATTTTAAAAACACAATGTCAATTTTCAAATGCAATGTTCTTCAACCTACTGTAGTACTGTATTACTATTAATAAAATAATTTACTTCGATAGCAATATAAATATATCATAAAATAAGAATAATTAGTACTATAGGATGACAGTCCGTTTTTGCTCAGAAATTATCCAAGATCCAGTCCTCAATTCTCTATCAAGGTACACTCTATACTTACTATACAGAACTGATGAACGGTTATTTACTTTTCCCCTTTTTTAAAAAATAATTTTCTTTTACAATTATTTAGGTACCTATAACTACTTTGTGTATTCTAATTTTGTAATAGGTATAATGTCTTATTTTAATTGATCGTGAAATATTCCCCTACTCACATTTACTATTTAAACGTTACCGATCAGATAAATTTCTCTTTAATTTGAAATGGTTGAATAAGATTTACCTATGCATTTTTTTTCAACTATATATCGAACCATAAATTAATTTTATATACACATAGTGTAGGCTGGTCCCGTTACTTCAGACTATATTATCCTAGTTAGTAGTTTGAGTAGTTTGACGATTTTGACAAAAGAATTAATATTTAAAATAATATAGATTATATAGGTACTTATATTAATTATTAGAAACGTGATTATTTTTTCAATAGTTGTGGTTTAAGTTAATTATAGACTTATCTACAGATAAATTTTTGGTGCTTGAACTTTGAACATCTAGTTATTAAATACAAAGTGTGTGTTAAATTAAATTAACTAAAATCAGAGAACCGTTTTTTCGAAGGTTATGAGTTATGAGCTTATGACATGATACGCAATGGATGAATAAATCAATGTTTTAGGAATAAAATTAATTTTTTAGAAGCTTAATTTTTCTATTTTATTGCATTTCATTGGAAAAAAGTATATTTTTTTTAACCTATTTTGACTGATGCGGTTATTATATATTATGGATTATCAAATATTATTGAGTGATAAATTAAGGGGAGGGTTGGGGCGCTAGACAGTAAATACAATTCAAAAATTACATTTTATGTAAGGTTTATACACGATACAGTTATTAGAACTGGGAATTATCAACATTTTGTATTATGATGTAATTTTAGTCAATACATCGAGTATGTTATGAAATGTACTAATAGAAAGATAAAAAAAAAAATATATAAAAAAAAGTATATTTAAAAATATACTTTAAAACTATTTCAACATTAGGAAAACGATTTTTATTTCTTTGTTCATTAATATTTTGTACATTAAATGTTAAATGTTAAAATTAATAAATTCACTGGCTTTTAAATTTAATTTTTAATAGAAAAATAAAGTACCTACCATAATAATATGTATATTTATTTAATTTAGTAAAATTTTTATTTTTTGTATTTGCTATTAAATATTTACAAAACTGTGAGAGCCCTTTGCTGCAGCTCACTCAGCCCCCCCCCCCAAATTTTGACCCTATTTTAGTAGTAATTAGGAGGACATATGCCTAAAAATTACAGATATCTACCTGACTAATTTACTATACCTATCCGATTGGCGATTATGATAGAGCGTCAGGGTTTTTGTGTTATAATTTGTAACATTATATTGTTGGAACCTATGCACTTAGTAAGCATTCGCGTAAGCTAAACCGAAAATTAATTTTATAAAAAACAATTAGGTACAAATAAAGGGAAGTTTTATTAATGAAGAAGGATATAGATATATATTTAAGATAAATGGTCAATGGTTACATTTATTAAGATGTACATAAGTACATTTTATTACATATCCTTCAGAAATTTGGACTGAAATTAAGAATAAAGATATTATAAGAAACTACAAAATGGGCCGCTGAATTATCAGTATTTAAAAGACCAATTGTATGATGCTCATTGCTCAATTCATATTATTTTAGTATATTAATAAGTAATAAGTAATAGAAAACTTACTAAAATTAAAAAGTAAAAACATATTATATTTATTCTCCTTCAAACTCGAAATTAAGGCCATCTCTATATCTCATGACGGCATAATTTTACAACGGATGAAATAAGTAGATTTAATATCTGAAAAATGGGTTCACAAAATCAACCAGCTTAAATAGACAATTTGTAGATATAATAAAAAACATTATTATGCTAATTTATTTTTATTTGTATTATCTACCTATTATTTTGATCATCACTATTATAATTTTGCTTAATGTTGATTATTGACGTTTTTTTATATTTTGAAATATATAAAATATTATTACATAACATTTTGATATTATATACATATATTTTTTTTTACATTTTTAGTGCTTATGAGTTTTGATATACATTTCAATACTTGGTATAGTTTTATATTGGCACTTATGTTCTACTGATTTTGGAGCAAATAATGTGTAATTTTTACACTGTTGACTCTCTTTGCATATAGTCATCGGGACATAGGTGTCTGCACTTTACATGGTGAAGTGGTGACGGGTGAGTACAATGGACGCGTCTGCAGTACCTATACTCGTATACTTACCTATTCCCTAGGTTGCTTTATATATCATGTATTCATGTCTATAATACAAAATAGTTTGTTCATTTGGAAAGTACCTATTATTTTAAAATTTGTAAGACCTCCGACGATTTTTATCACAATTAAATATGGAAGAATGTTATCCCGAAGCAGGAAAACGAATTTAAATTTTAAATACCTACCTACAAAGTATATTATACTTTTAATAATACCGACCTATTCGAATGCTTACCATGTTTGCATACTGCTGTGTCTAAGACCTAAAATGAGTAAAAGCAATGTTTACAAGTTTTTTAAAATAAATACTGAACTTTATACATCAAAACATAATACTATAATTTATAATATCCAAATAA